ATAAGTTTAATTGCATTTCGCAACGCTAATTAGAAACGGTCAAAAACATGCTAATAATCACCGAAGCCCGCAATTTCCTCAACATATAAAATATAATTGGATTACAAGAGTTTCCTTTTTTTTTTTTACTTCCCTCCACTTTAAACATACACTAAAACATGATTTTACGCAATTGTTGAAATTACTTCAAAAATAGTTTATTAAAAAACATTCGAAAATTCTCATTCTTTGCAAATAATCTTGTGATTGTTGCCTTAGTTTTTGGTGCCTAAATGCAATGAATCATTCATTCATAAGTTTTAACTATACGTTAACCGGAAGATTGTTTTAGCAGATACCTGTTTAAAGGCAAGACCTTATATGTACCTAAAACCTTCGCGATATACCCACGTTCAGTTTATATTAACCATGAATCAATTATTACTAATCTCGGAAGACACCGCAAACACTGAAATCTTATATATTTTTTGTCTATTCTTCAAGTCTATATCAAATAAATACATTTCACAGATTTTCAATAAAGATTACTTGATTTATAATTGCTGTTTTTAATGATCTCTAGTTATTTGCAAGATCATTTAGTGTACTTAGATAGAGTATATAAATCATCTCCGTAATTTTCCTCAACAAAATATGACTATTTCGATTTAATACGTTTACATTATGATTTATATATGAAATAAAACAAAATTGTTAAAAATGAAGTATTAGATGCAAGTCTATATTTTTTTTTCATTAAAGTGATCTTATTTATTTTTTTTCGATGGAAAAATCTTAGATTTATCATCGTCGTAAATAGATTCTGCAAGGTGGCTTTCGTATAGGTAAATGCAATGAAATGTCCTTGATATTTCTTTTTTATTTTCATTTTTCCTACACCATAATACTCCTAATTGCGATAGCAACTACTTGACATGTAGATGATGTAAATCTAAAAAGATAAATTCGGATTAGATTAATCTCTCTTCATTAAGTTACGAAGTACAGTTACGTAACCAGTTCCCTGCGATTCGATTTAATTACTGTTCGATTTCTTTCCTTCGAGTATACATAATATGTTATTACTAATAGTAATAATATGTGATTTTATCTTGAAGTTCGGGATGTTCTTTTTTTGTTAAATTTGTGTCGGAATAAACAAATCATTTATGCATTCCCCTAAAATAAATTGCTTACTGCTTGAATAGTAATTGGTGTGCATGTAAAGTATGAAATTCTTGTACTACAGAAGCGTGTGATCTGAATATGCAATCATATCAAAAATAGATATTTTGCACGATTCTCGTAAGTTGCATAACGCCATCAGAAGTGCATAGCTTCGGGAATCCCGGTATTTTTGCGGTTCGAAAAATTTGTGTTCTGAATGTTTATAATCTCCTCGTGCATAATAATAGTTGAGCAGTCCATAAAGGCCAGTCGCAGTGTGTTCTTGTCGACGTCGTCTCGCTAATGATAATCGTCGGGATTTATAGAATAATAGTCTGACTCATGACATAGACGCGACGCTTCCTACTCTTGATATTATAAAGAATGGAACAACAAAAACACAGTAGGCGAATTATTATTTCGTTCCTTTGCACACCGACTCGAATGAGCATTACAGATGGAAAGAATAAAGGAGAGACAAAACGTGGAAGAGAGAAAAATAAACAAGAAAAGCACTTCTCATTGTTTGTTTAATTGATTAATTTTTTTTGTTATGCAAATATTTAAACGCGTTCTTCTCTTTTTTTCTACTTATTTTATTTTTCAGTCTTCGGCTTCTTGTGCAGAATCATTGTGTACATTTCTACATTGCAAAGTTATAAAACCATTCGGAGGTAGAAGTTTTTGCGTGGAGCGCAAAGAGACTCACTCCGCACGGTAGCGTAATATTTATTTTTTATTAATGGTTTTTACTTATATAGACATATGTGACGTGTCGAAATTGTGTGGAGAAGCCTTGTGTGATCCGCGAAAGTGCATACTCCAAAAATGTTGACCAACCTAATTGTTTTGCATTTCCTTTTTTGTATAGTATTCATTGTTGAACTTTTGATAACAAATGTTTTAAACAATTTAAAATATACTTTTGAAATGTCATGGAAGAGAATTATATGCAAATTTCATCTCTTGCTAAATGAAACAAGTTTTTGATACACATCATATTCATGATTTTAACTCATTAAAACAAATGTTTTTCAATAGTTTTCATCATAACAATTTTAGTATAAAAGCAGGTATAGTAAAAGTTTTTATTAATTAGTATAATTGTAAGTTCAGAGTAAATAAATGGATATTTGTATTAATTGGATGTCAATGTGAAAACAATAAAATTAATAAATAATTGAGTTTTGAGTATTTTAATTATCAAACTAGGGCAGATGCAATACAGAAAAAAATGTACTGGACATGATAAAGGAAATATAATATGGACAGGTGAAGATGTATAAAAAAGGTACCTACATAGTGTATAAGATAGACTTGAAAGAAAATTGTAGGGCATCGTGTTTATAAAGGTAAATTACATTAAAAAGGATGATGAAGTTGTTACCAGTAAATATTTAAGATAGGTAAGTCTATAATAGTATTTATATGGTAATTGTGAATTAGGTGTTTTAAAGAAGTTTATAGGATTTAGTGTATATTTGATATTAATTTATTTATTTATAGTAAATTATAGTACCAATCAACTATTCATGCTTAACTTTACAATAATTAAGAGATGTACATGTTTTAGGATAGCTAATTGTACATTTTTTTAGTTAACAGTAACAACGGAATGAGCCTAAATAAGTTTAAAATGGTGAACAGCTGCAGATGATCCTGGGAGGCGCCAACACAAATGATTAATTAAAAAGCGTCAAATGTTCATTAACTTCACTTAACCAGGATTTTTGTCTATTTATCGTTCCAAATTGAGGACCATGCATAGAGAATGAAGGCTTACGGAGAGAAGGAAACACATACACGATGTGTGCATCCAAGAGGTTGTTTGTACGCGGGGAGGCAATTGCGTTCTCGACTAATTGCGCTCTAATTTGACAATTGACGTTAAAATATTTATTGCGCAATTTGGCAAATGGGCAGAGATCGCGTACACTTTTTATTTCTGCTGTTGTGTCCGGAGGCGGCGGCAGAGATGATTTTAAAATGCATTGAATTTAAGTGCATCAATTGTAAATTTACGATGCAATTTGTGGAATGCTTTATCGTTTTTAGTGGGACTTTTATCGCCGTCGAAACGTAAATATGTTACGTGCGTCGTATCCATCTGTTTCTATGTGCATCCCGTGCATAGGTTACGGCTCTCACGGATTGTTCATAGCCTAATTCAGGTGAGGATGTTCTCTATGGATGGATGGAAGGATGATGGATGCGGTTGAAGGAGAGCGAATGGAGTTTGTTGTACATAGCACATTGAACAGACGTATAGATTCATTCCGGTAGCCGTGAATCGTGAATGGGCACTTAAGGCTCCGGAGCCCCGGTTATATAATAATTGGACACTTGATTGATTGAGGTTCGCGGGACGCGAAGGAGGCGGTGCAGATAAATATTAAAGGCGACTTAGTTATTATCTCTCGAGGACTACTTACTAACTCTCTACGGGCTGTGCCAGCGAATAGGAATTTAATTAGCCTCTCTTTCTGCACCGCCAGCAGTTACTTACGATTTTGCAAGTGTCTCCATATAGCTTTTTACTTCGCTCCTCTAGATCTCCTCGGATGCTGCTCACTTCTTGGATCGAGGCCCAAGAGAGCGACAAAGAAGGGACGAGCAAATAAAGCAAACACAAACAAAGAGAGAGGTGTTCAAGGATACCAACGGGGAGGGAATCCATTCGGAACTGTGAGCAGCGCGAGAGAGTGTGTGTCCTGGAACTTCAAAGACAGGTGGTCTTACTAGGTCGTAAAGCGCGCATCGAAAACTTTTAACAAATACCGGGGCTTTTTTAAAACGTAATTTGTTCCTCAGCCTCTTCTCCTTCGCTCATCGATCTCTCTGCCCTGCGTTCTTTGCTTCCCCGTTCGGGTAATTTGCCGCGGTGGAAGAATGTGGTAGTGATATTTATTTATTTATTTTTTCCTTCTTCTTTTGTTTCCTTTTCCTCCACCGTTTTTCCTCGCCGTGAAGAGACAGGTGCGTGCACGAAGCCACTGTATATTTGCTCAAATAGAATTCCATAGAATTGAAGCCCGTGTTAATTTTCACACTTAGCATTGTTTGCCAATGTACACATCCAACGGCAAACACCAGCGACTGTCACATCTATAAACCCACGTTTTATGTTCTTTATTTAATACATTTGCGCTCCATCTCTTCATCGAACTCCGCATTATTCAAATTGTTTTATACTTTTTTCCATCTTTTCCCGGTTTTCGGAAATCCTCAGTTTATTTAAACAATTATCTCCAAAATTACTCAAACAACAATTGCATGCAACAAAGTATTACTTCTGAAAATGACTCTAGGATCAAAGCAAACATGAGTTTCGAGGTGATTTTATCAATATATTGTTTATTAAGATTACATTTCCTGAGTTTAAATTAAAATAATACTAAAATTGTTATATTTTTAATAATTTCTTTCAAATTATTAATTTCATAATTATTGTTTAAGCATATTTATTTCTGGTGTGTTTTCAATGTGTCATGTAAAATTTATGTTTTTTATTTAAGTAAAATAATTATTTTTTCCAATCATTTTTCTACATCATTAACTCTAAATTAATAATAATTATTTTGCAACACTCGCTTATTTATCCATCTCAAAGAAGGTTGACTATAACATAAAAAACGTAATTAATTTAAATAATGTATGAGATTATTATACCGGTATAGTAAGAAAACGAGCTAGAAAACCAATATCCATCTATCATAAGGATTCATCTTCAAATCGAGATGTATCTTAATATTTTTCTCGGAATTTAACATGTTCTATTATAGCTTCTCCACTTTAGATCTTTGCGTGTTTTATCCGCCGAACGTTGTAATAAAAAATAATGGTGTAAATCTTACCTCGTCGGAATATAACTGTTGAATCACGTCGTTTCCTTTGGTAGCAGAATTATTTTGAAATACTTTAAACCACTCTTCGAGCACCGAAAACTAATAACACAATTTAGAAGATAAAAATATCTATGTCGAGAATATAAAAAAAATGCGTATAAAAATGTAGAAATAGAAGATTTGAAAGTTTGCAATTCCAAAAATTCTAATATTGTAGAAAGAAAAAAAATAGTTCTTATTTGAATATTCTGTATATACTATGGAAAAGATACTCTACAATCATATTTATTTATTTTTAAAGGTAATTTAAATTATTTTATCGTCAGATTGTAATATTTTTAAATATTAACAAATTTTAACTATATATTTCTGATGAAAGTTTTATTAATTATATTTATTTAGCTATGACCAATTGAAAAGATGAGCAACGTTTATAATGTGCGTTATTCCACTTCAGTTTTTCTTTTTGTTTTATTTATTCGTTACATTGTTTTCAAATTTTGGGGCCGAATGAAATTTAAAGCGTAGAGTCGCAAAGGAGGAGAACAAATGGGAGAGTATTTGCATTGAATGATTGGAAAGAGCATGTATTATTACTCGTTGGATTCTTTTCTTCTTCTTCAACGCTATGAATAAAATATCAAGTGTAGTTGGGTGTACATAATGTTAACATGAACGAAACTCGTACATAAATTATAATATTATTAACTTATTATTATGATCATTTTCTCTTAAATTTTATATTGATTCGATTTTGAATTGAGAGCAAATGTGATTTTATCGAATTTCTGTTAACATTCTTGTTTATTAAATTGCGGACTTATCGCAGTATTTAGTCTTCGAACTAAGTGAATGCTAATTATCAATTGTAGTGCATCTGGGAGTCGTGTGTGTCTGTTCGATGATTTCACAATACGATTTCGCCGATTTATTGGACTCTATAAAATTTGTTGTGGAATTGGCCTCTCGTGATAAAGGTGATAAAATGTGATTGGTATTGGCGATTGGGTGCCAATGATGAGCAGAAGAGTGGATCGAGATTCGACTCGAGTGTTGTGTGTGTGTGTCAAGATAATGATCGGAGATTACCATAATGAAATCAATATCGCATATTAGTGAATATATGAATATATTACAATCTTCACGTACTACTACTGGCAGACAGGCAGAGTCGGCCTGGTCAGAGCAGAAGGCAGAGGAGAGGAGACCCATGATGCCGTTGCTGCTTCTGCTGCCTCCATCGGCTGATCTGATGCTGATGCTCCGGTGTATTTCATACATATGCATGAGCGGCCCAGGCATGAATGAACCGAGAGTGGAGCCCCTGGTACATCTTCTTTAAAGCTATGTGGGATGAATACACTGATGAACAAACAGTGAAAGCTCTTGTTTTCACATCTATTTATCAAGCCAACTTTCCGGGGGCAAACTTCACGCGCGCCTTCTCTCTTCTTCTCTCTCTCTCCTATACAAACCTAGACATCTCTCCAATCTTCATACTCATCTCGCAAAACTTAACTTTAAATACACATTAGTCGAGGGTATTTTACCTCACTTTCTCAACTTTATTCAAACGAATACCCTCAGTTACATTCAAATCTTCGAAGATTCGCACATAGTAAAATCAAATAATTATTATTTAAATTTCATGTCTATTTTATTTGAAAAATAAATAAATACAAAAAAAAATGCAATTTGCGCTAAATGTTGTTATTATTAGAAATTGTTTAATATATTATATACAAATAAAGTATTCTTTATATTATACAATTCTAAATGTGACTTTTAATTATTGCTGTTTGAAAGCTAATGGAGTTGTACCGTAACTCCAAACAAGCGTATAATTTATTTAAATTATTTGTTATGAAACAGTTCATTGATTTACCTTACGCTGTTATATGTGTATAAAAAAATGTTCACAATTGTGTATTCTTTCGCTTCTATAGGATGATGATTGTATCAAGTTGTGAATAGTAAGGTATGTTTCAGATGGATGTGGGTTATAAGCATAATTGCTTAATGATAAAATTATTAGAAGGTTGAAGAATTCGGGCGGTGTGATTGCGAAATATGATGGAAGTATGATTAAGGTAGTGGAGACCCTCGATATTCCTTATCGGAGTTCGCAGACGATAAAAGGAGTCCAATTTTAGCGGCCGGTGTCCATATTTATATAAATGAAATTACCAACACCTCCATTACGAACACTCTCACCCGTGACTTGGGTATCGAGTTCCCATATTCTCAATTTGTCCACCGCTTAATGGGCGGCAATTTGACCATATATATATATAAAAAAAAATGGTACTATTATCCTCCTCCTAATCAGAGTCGCGGCGCGAAACCCATGACCTTGATGGGCAGAAACGCATACACACGCGCGTTCCCTCATCGTCATAGGTATTTATGTATGTGTGTACTTATGCTGTGTGCTGTGTTCGAACAGCCTTGACCTTTCCTCATTTACTCTCTGCGCCTCTTTGACCCACTGAACTTATGGTCAAACGGCGGGTCAAAAAAGCCACGGCGCGGACTCCTCGAGTCTCGTCCGTAAGGATTCCGACTCCTCCGACTGTTTTATTACATTTAGACCGGTAGATAACGCAACATCTCCGCATGATATATGATAATTATCTTTTACTAAACGCTCGGATTAGTTTATTGGCGCTGCGACACGAAAAACTTTTATTCAAAGCAGGTGTCGTGCGATCCTCTCCGATGGCCTTTTTAAAGAATCAATAAATCTTTTTTTTTCCTCCTCTCATCTTCTCTCATCATCCCCTCCTTCTCACCTCTCTCATAGAAACACATTGACCTTTTTCCTCGTCCTCCGATGTTTCTTCACTATCAGCATCGTCTGAGAGACATCCTCCAAAACGAGAATCTCATCAGAACATCGTACTATAGATTCTTCTTAATTACCCAAACCTACAACTTCCTGAATCATCAGAAAATGCCATTTATTATTTCACGAATAAATTCCTAAAAAATACACGCTTTTTCAGTTAATATCACATTTTTGTAAGTTTAAATGCTTTTATATGCCGCATTAAATATTAAATCCGGCAATAAAACACTCTTTATTTATTTATTTATTTACGTTCCTTTCAACCGTCCTCTTCTTCACTGCTGACGTCTTCGTAAAGATCCTGTCGAGATGTGAAATTCATGTGTCGTTAAATAAATCATTTACAAATCGGAACAAGCAATTACTGCTGGGAAACACTGGGACTCGACGTATTAATAAAAATTAATTGCTCTTAATTGCATTATTATTATAACCCGTTTCGTATAAATTTCATCTACTTAAAATTTATGACTTAATATTTCTTCGAAATAATAATCAAACTAACATACTCATTTCTAAAGGAAATTACACAATTTATTGCATTATTTTTGCACACAAACATTACAAAAATAACATTATGAATTTAAATTAAATCTAAGAAAAATTCAGGAAAATAATTTACAATATTAATATCTCTATCTATTTGAATATTATGTTTCAAAATTTGTTTGTATTAGATTTTAAAATTTATTTTACACATAATTATTTTTGACTTTAGCAGATGTAACAGAAAAATATTTGAGATTTTGTTTCGGGGTTTAAATAAAAACCTGTTTTTAAAAGGGGTTAATACTAGTTTTGGTCGCTTCGAAACGAAATTTGTCAAGTTTGTTGTTTAAACCTATTATAAAATTATAAACTAATAATGTAGATAAAAAATTTAACAGTTAAAAAAGTATAAGACAAAAAGTGCTGTAATATTTAGCTTCAAGTGTTATTATTTGAGATTATACAGGTATATAATTTGCTTTTTGGAACATATGGCGTGTCTGTGTGCATGTTTCTTAATTGAAACTTTACTTTGGTTCATTGTTTCCTATTGATTTAACAATATACCATCATACTTAGTTCTACCCAACTGCATTCCGATTACTATCATTAAATTTCTAATAAAAAAGAACTATCATTTTAAAGCTCGGGCGTTTTGTATAGAAAGTATCGCAATAGTAATATTCTCAATAATATTTTCAAATTACAAAAAAATGCAATGAATTATTTACGTTATGATGGATGATAGGAGGTTTGAAAATGTTACAATAAATTACTTGCCTGTAGAATATTTTTGTTTCGCTGTTATTCTTTGAATGGTAGATATGATCAGGGCGTGACTGATTGTGTGCTGAAATGCGAATTGGAAAAAAATCCCATATAGAAATGTCATTTTAATTTGATTGTAAATAATTAGTGTTTGAATACAGCGTTGCGTGTACAGCTGTGCGCCTTTGTGGGTAGGTTGGAATGATCAATTCGAAAAAATGGTGTCGTTGTATGAAAAGGGGTTGGTTTTATTTAGGATTCGCTTTTTTTGCGTACGGAACTGTGGGTGTAATGAGGCATGCATGTCCCGGGGACGTAGGCGTCCCTTTCTAATCCCAGTTTGAAGTTGACGGGTGCGAGAGAGATGGACATGGATAGAGGGTGAAAGAGAGCGAGTGAGAGCGATAGAGGGTTGGTGGATAGCCAGTGAACACGGACAGGCGTGGGGTTGCGTAATTCGGTTGTAAACACGGGGCGCAACCCCTTTTTGCCTTCCAGCACCTCGTCAACAATACAAATTAACCATCAACGGTCCCATTGTCACAACAATTGTTAATGTTTAGTCTGGCGATTGGCGGCTTTTCACGATGAATTCGTTTCCTTGTCGCGGCGGATCTGGTAATAATGGTCCTCCTACCCCCGCTCAATGCGATCCATTGTTTGTTTATTGAAAGCGGCCGAGAGAAAAGAAATACTGAAAATAAAATAATTATAACCTTAGCCCGATCGTAATCTGTATTCCATTTGTTTACCGTCCGTCTCTGTTGCTCTTTATGTTTGTTCTTCTCTTCGCATTTTTTTTTTCTGTTTGTTTTTGTTGCTTTCTTTTTCTTTCGGTCCTCGTGGTTATTATATTTTTGGTTTACGATTGTGGTCCCATTGACAAAAGCGCATTGTGCGTCTTGTGGTTCTTTGGTTCTTCCTTCCCGGAGCGGTCACACCCTGAAATATTGAAGTGTTGAAAATGAAGGAGGACAGGACCGGCGCGAAAGAATGACGAG